CAAGGACAGTCTGTGACTCCTGAGTAGTGGAATCCATGACTGGTTGTACTAAGCCAGATTTATCAATCAGAATACCTTATTGCCTCTTGAATGGCAGCTGAGAATCAGCTATGATCTCCTCTTTGGCCTCAGAGTCGGAAAAGTCTGGAACACTTCCAAATTGCTGGATGTTTTTATGATTCTCTGGATAATTTTATACTGTGCACTTCTAATAACTGATGAGATCGATAGTGAAACTGCTGAAATGTGGCCATCCTATCTCCATCATGAGATTATGTCTTTCAATCAGTGCAACAGTGGAAGTTAAGAAATGAGTTTCCAGACCTGTTACATCTTTGACTTTTTCACACTGGCAATCCCAGTTGAATATTTTTTTTGAAATGAAATAAGCACCAAACTGTAGCATTTGTCCATTCATTTCCTTTTAGTACTACCATTCGTATTAAATACTGATAACATTTAGTGGCAAAAAATGCAACAATGGGAACATTTCCATTAGGCCAGGGGTGTCAAACTGAAGGCTCAGGCGCCAGATCTGGCCCATGAGGTGCTTAGATCTGGCCTGCGGGGCCAATCCTGGAAACAGTGAAGGACTGGCCTGAGATGTCTCTGCCAGCGAAAACAGAGCTCGGGAGGGCTGCACGCAGGTCCTCCTGAGTTCTGTTTTCGCTGGCGGAGGGTTGCAGGACGCCGTCGCAGCAGAAAATGGAGGTCAGGAGCCCGTTTTCTCTGGCAGAGTGCTCGGGCCACTACATGTGCCCTTGACACGAGTGATGTTGAGATGGTCATGCCCACCCTGGCCACGTGCACTCTGGCCCCCCAAGGTCAAACACAACCCTGATGCGGCCCTCAATGAAATAGTGTTTGACACCCCTGCATTAGGCTCTACTTTCCTTATTCCTGAAGATTGGATATAACATAGGTAGTCCTCAACTTACAACCATTTGTTTAGTAATGGGTCAAAGTTACAATGGCACTGAAAAAAGTGATTTATTACCAGTGGTGAAATGTAAAATTTGTTACTACCAGTTCTGTGGGCGTGGCTTGGTGGTGGGGGGGGTAATGTGACTGGGTGGGCGTGGCCAACTTTTTTTTTTTTTTTTACTTTTAAAAACATTTTTTCTACAACCTCTTCGGCCGAAGATGTTGTAGAAAAAATGCTTTTAAAAGCCTCTTACAATCCCAGCTGAGTCACACGATCATCAGAGGCTTTTTTTTTACTTTTAAAAGCATTTTTTCGGCCGAAGAGGTTGTAGAAAAAATGCTTTTAAAAGTAAAAAAAAAAGCCTCTGATGATCGCATGGCTCAGCTGGGCATTGGGGGGGAGCGCAGGGATTTTTGCTACCGGTTCTCTGAACCACCGGTTGCCATCGCTACTGGATCGGGCAATCCAGTCTGAACTGGGAGCATTTCACCCCTGCTTATTACCATTTTTCACACTTACAATCATTGATCCATTCCCATGGTCACAGGATCAAAATTTGGACACTGGTAACTGGCATGTATTTATGATGGTTGCAATGTCCTGGAGTCATGTGATTGGATTTTACAACCTTATAACAAGCAAAGTCAATGGGGAAGCAAGATTCACTTAATAACCATGTTACTAACTGCAGTGATTCAATTAAAACTATGGCAAGACAGGTCATAAAGTGGGGCAAAACTCATTTAGCAATCGAAATTTTGGCTCAGTTGTGGTCATAAGTCTAGACTACCTGTATTAACATCACTTAACAACGGTTCTGTATTTAGCTCAGAACCTCTTTGGTCTATGGGCCTCATGATTTTAAGCCTCTGGTCTGTTTTTGGGTATGCCGTGCCTTTTTTTTCTCTCTCTCTCTTCTTAGTGGAATCTTGCCTGATGAGTTTGAAAACTTGCTGGGATTTTTTTTTTGGGGGGGGGGGTGTCATTTTGGGTGGTACATCACCCAGTGATGGGTTTTGGACTTTTTTTCTTTCTAAGGGTCAATACTGCTATGATACAGTGGGATGGTTCTTTTTTGGGGGGAGGTGTATTTCAAGTGGAAAACTATATATTTTATAAGCTTTATATGAAAAGTCCTGATGAAATAGATCATAAGGTTTTACAGCTATTCAAACACAATCCATTTTCTGCCATCTTCTCGGGGAAAAGCTGTTTTTCAATGGAGTGGAGCTAAATAATTTATACATGTAAAAAATTGGCTCCCTGACTTGGAGAGAAACGGTAAGCTTCAATGCATATATGAGAGTAAGCCAATAAATTCTTACTACTATCACAAAGAAAATTATTATAAAATGTCCTTCTTTTCAAGTGAATAAAAAAGGAAGAAATGCACAAATGGGTGACTCAGTTGAAAGGAGATTCACTTCTGAAAAATCTGGGAGATCTGAAAGAAATTCAGTCTCAAAGGATCATACCGGGCATTGCAATCTTAAATGTTATTGCATCTTGGGCAAGGCTGGTGAGCAGGGCATGCTGAATGATATGAGGGGCACTCTGATACTGCTATGAGAAAAGCAAGTCACTTCTGCAAATTCTAAATAGAATGACTGGAGGAAAATTGGAAATGTGTGGCTTAAAACTTCAAAATTGGACTATGTGTTTTTTTGCGCTGATTTCCTAAAGTGGCTACAATATGTCAATGGGAAAGATGTACCCATCAGACTTAACAATTTTGAGGACTTCACAACTTGCTATTATAAATATTACAGGAAGGCACATTTTACTCATCACATTCATGAAAGGGAGATTGAATTAATGTTTTTTATTTTGTGCCTGTGCACAAACATTTACCCTCCCAATCTGCTGTCCACTTAGCTAGGAGTGTGTGGATTTATAGTCACAACACATCTGGAGGAATTGCTGATATATTCTCTAGGATAGACCACATGGATATCCTTAACCTAAATAGATGGGATGTCTGAATTAACATGCTGCTTTTACAGTTTTTTAAACACTTAAAAGTTTATCTCAGAGATGGTGTCTCTCCAGGATAAGACTCATCATTGAAATGTGACAATTACAACACAATCATAACTTTTAACAAAGTACCAAATTATGTTTCCCAATAATATTTAAAAATATTTACAGAAGATGATCAAAAACAGAATGCTTTTCTGCTAATGGTAATTAGTATTCGTAATTTCATAAACAGGGAAAATGATATATTTGCTCAAATAAAAATACATTGGAACAGCTGATGCTACAAAGTGCTCAAGTGTTCAAAGAAAGTTCTAATATAATACTAGAAGTGCTTTTCCATTAACCCGTATCATCAGGAGGGGAAATTACACTCAGTTTTTAATCTCTGTAAACTGCATCAAGCAAATGACACTTTATCCAAGAATCAGAATATTAAAGCACAGACAGCATAGATGTTTGGGGCATTTGAATCCAAGGGAGAAATGGAGAGACTGCATTCTGACACCAAACTGGTACCAGCATGATCTAAACTTGAAGGTTAAGCATTAATATTGACAGGCACTTAGAAATAGATATATTTTAATAATCAGTCCCAAACAGTAATTTTTACTATTCCATAGTAATGAACTGTTTTGTTTTTCCAATTCATTAGTTAAAACAAGTGTCATTTTAGGTCACTGAAGGATACATGACATTTGGGGTATGTGTGGGCATATCTGGCATTAAAAAAGCATTCTTGATAAGATTGAAAGGGATGGAAGGATGGAAGGATGACTATGTGAAACTGGAGGTGGAGGTGCACAATTAAGCTCCCACTGCTCTTTTCTCTCAGACATGAGGAAGATAAAAGGCATGGAGGGGGAAACACATTCAAACAGATGAATGTGGAAGCAAACAGATGAAAAGGTGGATAAAGATAGAGGGACTAGTACTGTATGTACATATGGAAGCAGTAACAATAATGATAGAGAAGAGACAAAGAGAGGTAGGCCACTGTAAGTTTTCCCTTCCATACAAATAATTAGAGAAAACAGTTTTACTGATATAAAAAGGAGAGGGAAAACTTCCAAACACAGCTAGAAGGTTATGGAAACCTACCCGCTCCATTACCTCCAGGTATTCTATGTTAGGATTGAGTTACTGCTCTTCTCTACTCTCTTTATAGAAAAAAAAAATCTGTGATACAATTTCATCTATTAACTTGGACAGAATAACTTTTTAAAAAATAAGTGGGAAGGGCATGGCAGGTTATATTTAATCAAAAATCCTACTACCTCAATGATGCAGATGGGGGCTTCACTTGACTTTGGGCAAGATAGGCCAATTTTTTTTTTTTTTTTTTTAAGAAAACAGTCTTAATGAAAATCTATCTATTTATTCCATAGTTACATATTGGGAGGGGAAAAAACCATCACTGCTGAAAATCAGCCAGGGATAAAACTCACTTCTCACAAGAACCCCTGACACATTCAAGGATGAATTTCTATCTTGTCCCACCCACCAGTTTTTTTACCCTGATCGATAGAAATTGTCTCACTGGCGTTTCTGCGCAATGATGGGGAAAGCCAACCCAGGCCAACTACATAAGAGGTTATTAAAACCATTTGTTGCTATATTAATACAAAATCAGAACAGCAGCATTCCCTAAGTTGGTGTTGGACCTCCATTTTCATGATTTTCAATCTTTGGCAATGCTGACTAAGTAGTCAGTATAGTATAAAAGCTGGAATCCAATAAAGCTTGATGGTTCTAGTTTGGAGAATATTGGTTCTTCCATAATGATCCAATGGTATTTATCTTTTTAATAATTTGAACAATGCCAATCTATATTACTTCAATGTACAGCAAAAACAAAAAAATAACACATCAGAAATAGAAAAGATTTTCTCAACACCATACTTGTAAGAGAAGATGCCAGGCCTTGGCTTTCTGCCAAACAAGGAATCAATAGACACAGACAGCCCAGTACTAGTCAAGGATACTAAAATATTTTGTATGAAATGAAATTTCAGGGCTTTCTCAAGAAAAGAATAGAAATATATTCCATTCAACAAAGTCTTCTTAATTTTAAAATCATATTACTTGTAGCACTCCAACCATTCATTTTTTAATTTATTTTTTGTTATCAAAGACAATGTCAAGAAACAGTACTAAAGAATCAGTTCATGGCATAGTTTTACAAAAATTTCTACCAGACAATTATTGTATAGTTGGATGTATTTTTTAATTAATGATGAGTTGAATTAATCAATGAAATTGCTAGCAAAAAATCCTGTAAAGAGATAGGTATTCTGATTGTTTAAATCTGTTGGTTGGAGCATGTTGAGTGGTCATAACATCAGTGAAAGGCAAGCATAATTCTTGCCCATCAGGAGAACGAGACATGGCTCTTCTAAAATGTCACTGATCTTTCAGAAAGAGGCACCATATTTTATATTCTGCACATACAAAATATGCTCATGTCACTTAAATTACATAATGCAGCAGTGTTAAAAGTCTTATAGTTTATTAATGGCAAAGAACCGAGCCCAAAATTCATATATGATTCATGGGAGGAACATATTCTCAGAAAGACAAAAAGTATAAAACAATAGTTCCTGTTGAATGTGTATCAGTGTGCATGTGTGCAGTGTGCATATAACAAAGTTCAAACAGTGCCCTATCAAATTGTTCCAAGCTGTGCATCCAGTCTGAACAGTAAAAGGCTTTCATTTTAACCGTATGTTAAATTGCAAATTCACATCCTACAAAAGTCAACAATATGGTTGGTTGTAATAGTTCAAAGTAAAAGTTGCTATGAATTATTTTGCTTGCCTTTATTTGTCAGCCTCTTCATATATGGGATACTTGACTGTCTCAATTTTCTCTTTTACTTTATAGGAAGGGTATAAACCTGTTCTCCCTAATTTTCTATTGATGCCTTTGGAATAGCCATCCCAGTGGTTTCCAGCAACACCAATTATATCTCCAGCTTCCATAGGAATTTCATCAGCAGTTCGAGGATGATGAGCATAAATTGCAATCTGGTTGTGGGCATTCTGTCCCCCAAAATAATAAATATCATCCAAAGAATGAAAATAGGCAGATGCATCAGGATGTAATGTCTGCATGATTTCATAAGCAACTCGACAAACCTAGAAAAATAAAGAAAAAATATTATCAGATTTGTATTATTTAGCATCTGCCCATTGATTAAACATATCTAAAAGAAATATATATTATTAGACTTTTCTTCTGTTTATTCTTAACACATATTCAATAATATAATGGAATGCAACTCTTCTTACTCTTTTACAGGTGGTCCTTAACTTGCAACAGTTTATTTAGTGACCATTTGAAGTTACAAAAGCAATTTATGTAGCTTTTTTATGACTTATGACTGTTTTTTATGCCTATGACTGTTGCAGCATCCCCATGGGCACATGATCAAAATTTGGATGCTTGGCAATTGGCATGTATTTATGATGTTTGCCATATCCTGGGGTCATGTGATCACCTTTTGCAACATTATGACCAGCAAAGTCAATGGGGAAGCCAGATTAATTAACAACCATGTTGCTAACTGTACAATTGCAATGATTCACTTAACAACTGTGGCAAGAAAAGTGAAACTCACTTAACAACTGTCTTATTTAACAATGGAAATTTTGGGCTCAATTGTGGTTGAGAACTGTCTGTACTATGTTTTATAATGTACAAAATCCAAACAATTCCAATCCTGAAACAGTCATCTAATGTGTCTTCTCTATCACCTACTATTTTAGGCAATATTGTTTGACTGTTTTCAAACCATTCTACTTGTTAATGGTTTCGGGAGTCTGCAAAATGTGGTATGAATGCACAAAATATAAAGCATCACTATCACATCTTATATATATTTTTTAGAAAGTTTGCCTTGTCATAATCCACTTCTAATTTATTAAGAATGGATGTTTTCTGCAAATAGTAATGATTAATGATTACATTTTCAGTGACGACTTAAGTCACAGCGCTCTACCCTTTATAGGATATAAGGCTGATATAGTTACCTACTGATTTTTTTTTATAATCCTTCAAAACTCTGCTACAACAAAATTAGCACATATCATTCATTAAACCCTTCAGAGTGTTAATGGAGCCTACAGAATCTTTATCACACGGTTCTATTGAATCAAGTTCAGATTTTGAGTGGATCGTTGTCAATTCCTCAGAATTGACTCAAGGGACCTAGACCTCTAGAATAGAATAGAATAGAATTTGTTATTGGCCAAGTGTGATTGGACAATCTTGGGGCATATGCTCTCAGTGTACATAAAAGAAAAGATATGTTCATCAAGAATCATAAGGTACAACACTTAATGATAACAGTCATAGGGTACAAATAAGCAATCAAATCATATTAGGAAACAGTCAATATAAATTGTAAGAATACAAGCAACAAAGTTACAGTCATACAGTCATTAGTGGAAGGAGATGGGTGATAGGAACGATGAGAAGATTAATAGTAGTGCAGACTTAGTAAATAGTTTGACAGTGTTGACGGAATTATTTGTTAGCAGAGTGATGGCACTTGGGAAAAAACTGTTCTTGTGTCTAGTTGTTCTGGTGTGCAGTGCTCTATAGTGTCATTTTGAGGGTAGGAGTTGAAACAGTTTATGTCCAGGATGTGAGGGGTCTGTAAATATTTTCACAGCCCTCTTTTTGACTCGTGCATTATATAGGTCTACTCCACTCCTTGTACCTGAGATCTTGCATGAAAGGTATATTTTTCAGTAACTCCAAAGTTGTCAGGATGACATGCAAGACAAATGGTTCTATAGCTTCCACTTGAATATACTTAGTAAAGGAGAGTCCATTATTTCTCAACGTAACTGTTGGCTCCACTGCTGAGCTATTCTATAAGGAAATTTTTGTAATATTTAGTTGAAATCTGTTTTCCTGTAACTTAAATGAATTATTCTGTCTTGTACTCTGAAATGAGAGAGAACATGTCTTGACATCCTATGTAAATTCTTTTCAGATATTTGAAGGGTTCTCTCATATTACATCAACACCTGACTTCAGTTGTGTTTTCTGATGACTAAGCTTCCTTCAATCTTTCTTCATAGGGCTGAGTTCCAATTTCTCCTAATCCTGTTTTAAATAATATAATCTCATTTGTGGTGACTGGGAGGAAAAAGAAGACTTCTCATTACAGTATTACTAATGTGAGCTAATGTCACAATGTATTAGCTGAAATGCATCTTTGCATTTAGTATTTTACAAAATAAAAGAGCAAGGGCAAAGAATACAATATGGATTATGAATTTGGGGATACCTTTTAAACCTTTCCATTCCAGTCATGGTCTAGATAAGTGCTTCTCAACCTCAGAAATTTTAAGATGCATACAGGTAATCCTCAATTTACAACCTCAATTGAACCCAACATTTCTGTTGCTAAGTGAGTCATTTATTAAATGAATTTTGCCCCATTTTACGACCCTTCTTGCTACAATTGTTAAGTGAATCACTGCAGTTTTTAAATTAGTAACGCAATTGTTAAGTGAATCTGGCTTCCCCATTGACTTTGCTTGTCAGAAGGTCACAAAAGGTGATCACATGACCCTGGGACACTGCAACCGTCATAAATATGAGTCAATTGCCAAGCATCCAAATTTTGATCAGGTGATCATGGGGATGCTGCAATGGCTGTAAATCTGAAAAGTGGTCATAAGTAACTTTTCGGTGCCATTGTAACTTTGAACAGTCACAAAATGAACTATTGTAAGTTGAGAACTACATGTACTGGTTGGGAAAGTGTGGGAATTGAAGTTCATATCTTAAAATTACTAATGTTGAGAAACACTGCTCTACATAAAAAATCCTCTCTTTCCCTAACTCTACTTTGAAGTAAAGTTTATAATGAGGTAAGTTTTTTTGCCCTGCTTAATTAACAGCTCTAGATGTTTATTCCTCTTCAGGATCATGGGAAAGAGAAAATAAATTAAAATTCTTCTCATTGCTGTCAGCTTTATTGAATCATGCACCTACTCTATTTTAATTGTAAAATGTTACGCTGATCTGAAGTCTACCACCTACTGTTTGAGGAACCCATGTAGTGGTGGGTTGCTGCTGGTTCTTCTCGGTTTGGGAGAGTCTTTCATAGGAGAAAGAACCGGTTCGCTTTGAATGTCAGTTGGGCCCTCCCCCACGCCCCCACCCTATACCTACCTTTATTTCTTTCGTTTTTTGGTCAGCTGTAAGGCGCAGCAGTGTGGATTGCCATGCCTCAGCTGTTTTTTTACTCAACACAAAGCGCATGTGCGATGTGAACCGGTGGTAAAACTGATTAGAACCCACCACTGAACCCATGCTGCCAGCCCATCTTTCAGCCAGTTATGTCTGCAATCATTTTAATTTACACTGTACCACAACACACGAAAACAACATTTGGTGTTTTTGAGCAGATTCAAACTATATTGTTTTTTCTGATACCATGTTAAGGTACAGAGGAAGTTTGGTCTACTGGTTAAGTCCAGATATCAGGCCTTGGGAGACCATGAGTTCTAGTCCTGCCTTAGATACAAAGCCCGCTGGGTGACTATGGACTAGTCATCCACTCTCAACCCTAGGAAGGAGACAATGGCAAACCACTTCCAAAAAGCCTTGTCAAGAAAACTGCAAGGATTAGTCTGGGCAGTCACCAGGACTCAAAAAGTTAACTTAAAGGCATGCATGCACACACACACACACACACACACACACACACACACACACACACACACACACACACACACACAAACACATAAATGTGTGGATATGATGGAATTTAAAGGCAGGATCCAGAACAGAGGAAGAGATCTGATTGTGCAGTAGGACTTTTCTCACTTTCCCCCCTAACTATGCTTGTTTTGTTCCTGATGCTTGAGGATCAAAGGATTTTCTACTAGGATGTAGCACTAGTGAGTTTTCACTGTTTCTAATAGCTTATTTAAGCATACTTTTCAGAAATAATGCCAAACAACAACAACCCCATATGTTATTCCTGAGTGAGAGTATTAAGGTTTTAAAAGGCAGAAAAAAAGAATCAAGAAATGCATCATTTATGCAGGAAGTTAATTGCTATTGTGCCAGAGACTGTGATAGATGGGGAACATCTTATTGCTATTAAGGAAGTTTTAAATCTATTATATTACAATTGATACAATTAAGCATTTGCCATTGGGTCTACAGAAAATTGTGTGAGTTAGGAAATCAAATATGTATTCTAGCTTTGTTGAAAGAAAAACTGGAAGTCTGGCTAAGATTCAAACCTCAAACAGAGGCAGACTAAGAATTGGAAAGATAGGAAGAAAACCCAGAACACAGTGAACTAAAGAGCTAGGAACTAAGAGACAAGGAGGCTGAAAAAAAGACAGAATTGAATCAAGACCGCTCAGTCCACCCCAGCAAACAAGATATAAAACTTGCTGTCAACTATTTTGGCAATAATACTTCTATAATGTTCACAGTGAAGCATAAAAGGAGGAGGTGTGGCATAACAACTTGCAGACTCAGTCCTATCAACTAACAGACGGAGTTAACCCTTTCCTGGCTCCACCATTATGGAGAAACTGGCATTTCAAAACAGATATATAATTGCCTGTAGATAAAAAAATCAGTAGTTGGTGTGATGATTATGCTTCAGAATGTATTTCTTTTAAGAACAGCAAAATAACAGTTTTACTGATGCTAAAATGTTAAAATTCTAGTTATTCTTTCCAATTTCCATGATTAGTTGGAAAAATAACCTTTCAACTGTTTTACATTTATTTGCAAAGGATATGTTTTCTTGTTAATTTCTACACAGAATGTTTAAAATACTGATTTAGAATAGAATAGAATTCTTTACTGGCCAAGTGTATTTATCGGTAATTCTATTATGTATTACTATTATTAATTTAAAACTATCTCGTAAGCCTCTGGTATTTTATATGTGTGTGTGCTATTTCTAATTTGCTTCAAATTTTGGAACAGGAATTAGCTTACCTGTGAAGAAAAAGTGCACACAAGGAAGTCTGCCTGAGACAAGAAGTGTATATCCAAAATAACACCCCGCAGAGAGTTTTCAGTGTATCGATTGTGAAGACCCGCTGACCATGATATAGAATTGTCACTTATGAATTCATAGTTTGGATATCTGAAAAAAATGTATCACAACATCACGCATTTGTTTTCTTTAGGGAACAGTGTAGTATCTCTGCACAATTTATTAAGTAAGTCTGAATTCTTGTTCTGAACTGACACTTAGGAATAATGAGGACCACATAATTTATTGGTACAAATTTTACTAACAAATGGAAAACTGACTGTATTTCGTGAGAAGTAAAAACTACTTGTATCTGAAGCTTTTTATACCATCAATCTTGGCAGACTTTTATACAATCAATCATGGTACCTTTCTGCTGAAAGAGATAACTACAGCTGTAAACCATTAATATGCATATTAGATGCTACTTGTCATTTAGCAGCAAGAAAACAATCAATACAATAACATGGATGGGGGAAAAAACCCTGAAATTAAATCCAGAAACGGAAAAACCTTTGGTCAACAGGAAACTGGAAGCAGGCACTGCAACTAAGTGTGTTCTTTATAGGTTTGTCCTAGTATAATTTATCCCAATGGCTTCCTTCCAAACAGGAAGTAAAACTGTAACAATGTCCAAATATGGATTAATTGGAAATCGTAGTCAGAGTGTAGCAAATTGTTCTGCCAATAGTGTAAGAACAGAAAAGGACTAGTTAATTCAGCTCTTGATTCAATTTTCTCTCTAGCATTATATCCTAGTTCCTAATATTTTCCCAGCACTTTTCATCTTGAGTAGTCACCAGCTTTTCTTACATCTGCATCTTGGGATAAATAGTTGTTTTTTTTAATCCTTCTTGAGTAGGAACCATTAAATAGAAACCCATTAAGTAGAAAATCAGGGCTATAAGTCTGATGTTTTCTTACAAGTTTAATGTGTAATTGAAAATCACTAAGTGATCTACATTGTGATGCATCAATTGAAGTTGGAGAATGATGGGGGACCATGGTTTTTATAAGTGTGATTGAGATAGAGATAGGATTCCAGTAGAAATTAAACATAATGAACTGGATTGAGAAGACAAAGAAACTTTTCATGCCAGGGAAGATGTATTCTTGTGGCCCAATCCTCCAGTGGAAAAATTTTACACCATGGGAGCAAGAACAAAATATGGAGGAAATTTTTTAATGTAAATAATGATATTTTCTCTATCTTCAATCCTAAACCCCAAAAAAGTTTGGATATGATTTCAAATAATGTTGAGATAAATTTACTGAAATTTGAAAAAGTCCTGAAACAAGACGGTAACATTGAATAAACCATATTGTTTAAATATGGATCTGCATCATGTAAAACCACTTTTGCAGCAACTGTGAACCAGGATGCCTTACTTGGATTTTGCCTCTTGTAATAGTGAAGGATCATCTGTAGCCAAATAGACTCGCTTTTTGTCAATATGCTTTCTCCGGGAAAGAAGTTGGAAACGTTCTTCAACATGTATCATGTATTCTTCAATCGGATGAAATGCTGCTTCTGTTCCCACTTTATCTGTTCTACGGACGTGAATACTGGAAAATAACATGAAACTTAGCATTTCTCTTAGACAACTCTTATTAATTCAGAACAAAGAGTCTGTGGCAATTCAAGGATCCTCTCCTGTAAGAGTCAGGAGGCCCTAAGCTTTAGAGAATTGCCAAAATTGCATCTTTCCTTATGTGAACAACGACTCAATCTAGACTACTCCTTTTGACAGAATAAAATTCCACAGACTGTTCTGTGTATGGGTCTGCATCTATCTGCATTTATAAAAAAAAAACAAAAAACAGATATCTCAAACGTTCATATTAAGAAAATGCATTTTTTAAAATCTCTTAGGATGGTAAAAGTTCATTCTAAGATAAAAGGTAGATGAAAACAATTGTACTTCGTTATGTCAGACAATTTATTCCAAACAAATGGAAATATTACAAAGTCAGAACTGAAAACATGAGAACCCCAAATAAAATTGATTAGGTTAGGTTGTAAAGAAAGTATTTATTCATATATAAAAGTCATTAATTTGTGAAATACATTGCTGCAAGATAGATTAATTGCTATAGCTTATAAGACTATTTTGACTTAATTTTTTAAAAAACCAAATATTTTTAATTTATTTATTAGATTTATGTGCAGCTCATCTCATCCACAGGTGACTCTATTTCAATTATGTTGAAAATAACAGCTTTTTACAATTGGAAGAGAAAATGTAGCCATTTAGGGATATAGTTCCCAGAAAATTTAGTGGAGTCAAGAAAATTAAAGAAATATTCAATCTAGAGATTATAGGCATTTATGAGCTGAAACATAAACTGTTCAAAATATGCAATTAGATCCCTATGTAATTTATAAAAAATAATGCAATGTCCTTTATTTGATAATGATTAGATCGTAAACAACAGCCTACAGTTCTAAAAAATGGGTATCAAATACAAATTTCAAAAATCCAATTCATAGTTCTTAAATAATTAAACTGGCTATATCCTAGATCTGTCAACCAGCATAAATATTGATAAGTAGGTGCTTCCGATAACTAAGATCATATAGTTCTGCTAGTTTGTATACCATTTCTAAGAAAACCATTTAAAAACAAAGATTAGACACTTGGATGTTGCTAAGAATTATTTCCTAAGTAATTTGAAAGACCAATAATATATTGCCTGCACTATCAGAAAGCCATAAAATATTACTTTCTTAACTTTTAAACAATTTTTTTCTGAACATATTAAAAGGATCAGTGATCATTAATTATAAAAGCTAAACGAAGCCTCCATTGTCAGAGGTATTATATTTCTGAATTATACATGTTGGGGTGAACAGGGTAGGACCCTCATTCTGTATAGTGAACTTGAAATTTAAAAAAGTGCTTTAAGACTGCTTTCTTTATTCCCAAATAGCATTGATATGAAAAAGAAAATACTGAAATAAGGTAAATTGGAGGGAAATTGTGTTTTCTCAAAAGTAAATTCTACTGATTTCAATGGAAATAAACATGAGTTTATGTTTATGACAGTGTTAATAATCTAATAAAACACTTACCCAACAATTGGATGTTTAAAACCAAGTTTTCTTGTGGCTTCTTCTATCTCTTTTTCTAACAAAGGCTGTGGACGAATCAAGTATTTGACAAACTGTGAGACCCACCATACTGGAGGATCCCCATGGACGCGAATTAGTCTATCAGCCAGATCTTCTGGAATTGCCAGTGGCAAATATGGAGGCCGTGGATGTAGACTGTCAACTATGGGCAATTCTATAACTTGAACATTTTTGTCATTCATTTCACCTGGAAAAGATATGATTATGATAAAATACTTCAGAAATATGTGATTTTACCAATTTTAATAAAAATAGAGAAAATACATTGTTTTAAAATATAATTTGTAGCTTTCTGACTGAGATTGAGTATCCATTTCAATGATTGTTTTGAATCCAGCAACTGCACAAATTCAAGTTACCAATAGACTGAACAGAAATTTTACATTAAGTATGTCCAACCCACAGTCCTGGACAGCTAGTAATGAGCCCCCACAAGATAATAAAAATATTTAAAAATAAAGGAAGTTTGACTGTTATATACATTAACTATAATATATATTATATTATATTATATTATATTATATTATATTATATTATATTATATTATATTATATTATATTATATTATATTATATTATATTATGTATATATATATATATATAATATATATTATATAATATATATATATATATATATATATATATATATATATATATATATATATATATATATATATATATATATATTATATTTTATATGCATCCAAGACAATTCCTCTTCACTCAATATGGCTTAGGCAAGTCAAAAGGTTGGACAACTATACTTTAGATTCATTTGCACAAAATATCATAGATTGATAAAAATGAATTGCCATAGTCACTAATTCACCTCTGCCCACTGACTACAGGTAGTCCTCAACTTACCACCAGTCATTTAATGAAGATTTGGAATTACAACAGACTGGAAAATGACTTAAAATTACAGTATTTGCACCACCTCCATGGTCACATGATTATAATTTGAGCGCTTGGCAAGCAGCTTGCATTTATGACCAGTTACAACACCCTGTAATCACCTGATTGAGATCTGCAACCTATGCAGGCAGTTTATGACAAAGAAAGTCAAAGGGGGAACCCAGATTCATTAACAATCATGTGATTTACTTAATGATCATGGTAAAAATAATCATAAAATCAAGTCTGGTCACTTGATGATTTGCTTAATGACTGCATTGCTTGGCAAACAAAATTCCAGTCACAATTGTGGTTGTAAATTTTTGGTGTTTCCCCAAAAATAAGACCCTGTCTTATATTTTTTTCAACCCTGAAATAAGCGCTTGGCCTTATTGTCATGTGCTCAAAAACCCAATTGGGTTTATTATCAGGGGATGTCTTATTTTGGGGGAAACAGGGTAGTTGTACATAAAGTATTAAAATGCATAAAATAGCTATAGAAAATATAGCTAGGAAAAAGCTAAAGCTTGTAACAACACAACCTGAATTATGTTCCTTAAATTCTAGTATTTGTTGGTAAAACGTTCATAACACATACTGGTATACGCTGTTATTTTTACATCAAACAGAGCATCATTTATTCTAGCTTTTGCAAAGTTTGGGTGCAATAAACAAGCCTCATGATACTGGATACATTTCCAGAAAGGTGTGTGAAATAAGAAACAAAAGAGAAAGGAATTGAGGAATAAAGATAGTAGAAATTCTCAGCATTTTCCCCATTCTCTTCCCAATTTCTCTATATAGGCATTATAAATGAATTTACTGACATCCTTTCTTCCATTCCCTTTCTGTGTTTCTATCATATATAAAATTTGCTAAGTGCAAAGTGAGAAAACCTGAAGTAGGATTTTACTAAATTAGGATCAAAGATCCAAAAAGTTAAATACAGATTTAAAGTAAAAGTTAAATCTCCCTTCCTTCCCAAAAGCATTGACAAAAATGGTTTGTCAATAGTTTCCCCCCACAATGTTTTGATGTTTTGACCGGGTAATCTAGTTTACAGCCCTGGGATTTCCTGCTAGATTCCAATTCAAGTATAATTCAGGTCTGCATCTGTTTCGCTTTTCAAGGTCAGCTGGATACTGCAACTGGTTGTGACCAGGCTTAGAAAATAACTAATAAAATCAATGAGGCTTAAATTAGAAATGATTCACTTGATATTAGTGCTATTTCAGAAGGATTAATCCCATATCCAACTTGCTCTTATCTTAAATAAAATATCAGTTTAATATTGTAATTTTAACTAAGACACACATGGAAATTCAAAGCACTTCTCAATTCATCAATGCATTTTAAAAAGGGGGAAATCTATGAACAGAACTGTCACAATGAGAAGACATACAATTACAGCAACCTCACTTCTTCAATTCCAGTTTGGATTATAATAGGAACTGTCTTCCATTATTTCTCCAAATTTACTTGATAATCTGAACACATCTTTATCTAGAAGGTTCTATATTTTTGATGCTTGGAGGTGGCAATGGTCTATAAATAATAATAATCTCAAATAACAACAACAACAACAATAAAAACAACAATAATATAGAAACAGATATTCTGAGAAACTGTATTCCCAAACCATGAGCAACATTTTTGCCTCATTTCCTGAAAGGGAGGAGTTAAGGAATGAAATAAATACTTTAAACCTTTTATGCTTACAGACACTTTTTCAAACCGAAAGTGGTAACCTACCCTTGAGCAGTATGCCAAAGGCTACATTCCAAAAAATAGGCAGGACACAGATATCAATTAAATTTGATAGAATCTAATATAAATTGTAAATTAAATTTGATTAAATAAAATTTAATATTATTTTCTTTGTATTTTCCTCTTCTATCACATTATAAAGTACACAGTTGAAGCAATATCTGGAGGACCACACCAAAGCCTTTTAGCAGCCACAGGTAACTGTAGAGCCATAGACCAATTGTCCATGGCATAGGATGAAACTGACGGACTGTGAGACAAATCTGGTCCTCACCTACTTTCTGTTAATTTGCAATTTTCACCAGTTAACTTCAACACTGCAAAGAGATATCTCTTTTATTGCATCTTCCTTTGTTTTACCTTTCTCTCAAAAGAGACTAAACAGAGGAATGACACAGTGGCTGTTATTAATATATTAAAGGTAAAGGTTAAGATTTCCCCTTTCCAGTTGTATCCAATTCTAGGGGTTTGTTTCTTAGCTGAGAGAGCCAGCATTGTCCAAAGACATTTTCCGTGGTCATTGGCCAGCAAGATTATATGCCATGATGCACAGAACGCTGTTACCTTTCCACCAAAGTAGTACCTATTTATCTACTCATATTTGCATGCTTTCAAACTGCTAGTGGCAGGAGCTAAGGCAAGTAACAGGAGCTCACCCCATCACACAGCATTGGGCCTCGAATCCAGACTGTCAGCTTTCTAGCTGACAAGCTCAGCATCTTTAACTGCTGAGGTATTGTGCTCCTGTCACTGTATTAATATTTTTATGTATTAGGCATGTCTTTAACCAGCAGAACAAAACTAAGCTTGTTATCTCAACGTTAGAAAGATTAAAAAAATGAGATAGGAAACTTTTGCAAGGAAGAAGAGTAACCAATTCAATATAATTTGAAGGTAATCTAAACTTATGTATAAAGCCTTGCCAGACTTCCCTAATCCAATTGGAAATTTTCTAAATGCTTCTCGCAAAAGAAAATTTTGAAAATGGGAATCATAGTGGCCGATAGATAACAGACAGGAAACTTCATCAGTTGAGCTAATTCTATTTGAAGGTAACATTACATTAACAATATCGTACAAGTTTGAAAGTAATTTTCTCTCCATTCCTTTTACAGCCCAAGAAATTAGAGAAGGTCTAAAAGCTGCTTGTCCCACCCACATTCTTGCTGTGGGCTAAGTTGCCTTTTATCTGACCATTGCTTGGCTGCATCTCTTTACTCTGTTTCCAAGGTCATTTCCACATACCATTACAGTATGTCAGTGACACCAATTGCTTACAATACACAAAGCAACTCATTTGAATGCTAATGTTACCTATTCCAAATATGCCTGTGCTCAGCTGCTTCAATAGATCATTATTTCAAGTTATGGTTTTAGTCTTTCTTACATTTGGGGTCCATTAGATTATAATCAATATCCAAAGAGGTTTTTCTTATATAGTAAGAAAATTTGATTATTTTAAAATCAATATAAAATGCTTCCTTGCCACAAACTATGAGTGATATATCTGCACAATTATAACATTAGTAAGTTTGTGCAATTAATCTGTACTAATACAGAATAATAGGGCTGGAGGGTCTTTGGAGGTCTTCTAGACCAACCTTCTCCACAGGCAGAAGATTCTATTCCATTCCAGACAAATGGCTGTTCAATCTCTTCCTAAAATCTCCAGTGATGGCACACCAACAACCTTTGAAGGAAAACTATTCCATTGATTGATTTCTCCTTAGTTCTAGGTTGATTCTCTGCTTGATAAGTTTCTATCTATAACTTATTCTCTTGCCCTCAGGTCTTCATAGAATAGATTAACCCCCTCTTCTCTGTGATAGCCTCTCAAATAAGCCTGCTATGTCATGCTTATTCTTTTCATTAGACCAGACATATCCAGTTCCTTTGACTGTTCATCATATGGTTTAGCCTCTAGTTCCATTATCTGTGTTGCTCTTCTCTGCACCCTTTCTAGAATCTCAACCAGGGGTGAAATCCAGCCGGTTCTATCCGGCTCGGGCAAACTGGTAGCGGCGGCTGTGGGAGGCTCCGTCCACCTGTGCAGACATCACGACGTTGCTTTTTTGTGACATTTTAAGCCTCTGAGCATGCACAGAAGGCTTTACACATGCGTAGATATTGGCAAACCAGTAGGGAAGATAAGTAAGTTTCAGCCCTGATCTCAACAACTTTTTTGTATCGTGGTGACCAACATTGTACAGTAGTATAAATGCAGTATTCCAAATGGGGTCTTACCAAAGCAGTATAAAGCAGTACTAACACTTCACATGACCTTGATACCATTCCTCTGTTGAGGCAGCCTAGGACTGTATTGGCTTTTTTGGAAGCTGGCTCATAAATTTAAGTGGTTGTCTACTAGGACTCTAGATCCCTCTCACAATTACTGCTGTTGAAGGACATACCATCTATTCTATATATTTGCATTTAGTTTTTCTTACCTAAGTGCCATATACTTTCATTTGGATTTACTCCCAGATGAATATACTGTAAGAATACATACTGAGATTCAAGCTGAATTC